TACTGGGTATTCTATTTTCAGATGCAGTGGGCTGCAGGGAGTTCCTGTACTTTGGTCTGTTCAATTCGGTTTTTTCTTTCTGTTTATTGACCTGGATTTGTGTGCTTCGGTCATTCACAGATATTGTACCTGTCTGTGTTTCCTTCCCACTACTGAGTATATCAACAAAAAGAAGCCTAAAGATAATCAGTAATATTGCATTTAAAAACATATTAGTCTAAATGAATTCTACATTTATATATTTTTTATTTACATAGCAGATACTTTTATCAAAATTGATGTAAATTTTCGAGAAATTGTGGTCAGGCAGTCAGTGGAACAATTGGGGGTTAAGGGCCTTGCTCAAGTGCTGAATGGTGTTAGTACCCATGGTGGAGCTCAGATTTGAGCCAGCAACCCTCTGATCCAGGGGTTCTTATCCTGGGGTTCATGGACCCCCAAGGGGTCCGTCAGTGGGTCTTAGAGGGTCCGTGATGGTCAGATTAAAAATGAACAATTACGTTCACTGAATTGTACATAAACTTGTTTTATTTTTGCCACAATGTATAAGAAATGTTTTGTATATGCATGAGCATATGAGAGAAAGTTCAATAAAATATATTCATTGAGTGCCAAATTGAGTATATGTGCATATTATGTACATATTTTTGGGAGGGGGTTTGTAACTTTCAGCAAAATGGGGTCCATGGCTCAAAAAAGGTTAAGAATCACTGTTCTAATCACAGACATGGAAGCTTAACCCTCCAAGCTACACACTGTCCCCTGTTACATGCATTCATATTTTAATATTAAAAAGTGTTTTTGTACTTCCTGTATCAATTCATATTTACTGTATATAGTTTCTTGTAAATCACAGAATCGATTGTATTGATATGAAATAGAATAAGTTTATACTTTTTTTCCACACAGATAGCAAAGTTGTGAATATTCATTATACCCTCCACATTAGCTGCCCTTAGATCTGTCTTTCATGGGGGAGGAAGGACTCTGGGAGTGAAAAAGAAGAGGAGCATGCATGCAATCGTGTGAGCATTTAAATGGAGCTTTGAGGATGTTCTGTATTGTGTAGTAGCCAGTATCATTTACTAAGCTGCTGGGAAAGCATGAAAGGGATTGCAAGGTGACTAAAAGCACTGGATGTCGAGAGAAATGGGATGTCATGTCACAGACTCATTCAGATGCAGCTTCATATGGAAGAAAATTCTGCTACCCATGTTCAGTGGCCTTCTGGTGATGACGCACAAGCAACTGTTCTTTGTTACAAATGAACACTTTGACAAGAATAACAGATGCACAAAATTTGAGCCTGATGTCCAGGAGACGGCGCTTTTGTGTGAATCATTTATTACACTTTGTGTTCTTGGATCAAAATGTACACAGATCATAACACAGAGCATCTTTAAATAGAATTTGTGACACTGTAATAGTCTGACTGTTCAACTCCAGCATGTGCAAAAACTGTAAATATTAATGTCAAACGAACTATATATTTATAGCATGTATTCTTCATCTGATTTTTTAAATGGAGCATTCATGTGAGACAAAGTGAGATTTTAGCTACCAGATGTATTTCCTGAGATGTATTTCCAAGTTAAAAAACCTTAAACTCCAGGTCATACCCATGAACAGTTCCAGACTATACCCTTACACACTTAAGTCATCTTGCGTCAGGATATTTCTTAATATTTAATGATGAAGGGAATGTTAGGCTGCCATTCTTTGGTGTGGTAACTACCCTGACACCATTAAGGACCAACTCAGTATTTAAATATCAAATAACAGTTACCTTGGGTATTACAGGTTTGTTTATGGGAAAAGAGCAGAGAAACAGGGCCAGATGTAAGCAGTAAAGCACAGGGGAACAGAAAGGTAAGTCACGGTCAGCAAATGTGCAGGAAAGAATGTGCACAGTGGTAGCCACAAGGGGGAAATGTCCTGCATTGGCAGCGGAGTATACTTTCAGTGCCTTGTGCTTGGTGCCACTTCAGATGTTGAAAACAACTTGTTTTGTGAGTCAAGGACTTGCAGTGAGATGTGGGTGTCGGTGCTGGAATGAGATGATTGGCCACACCATCTCCTGACAAGAGGAGAATTTATCTTGTATCTGAGGGCTTGTTTGGGGAGGCTAAAGATGGCCATCCAGTCATGGGTTTCAGCATGTGCTCCCCTCCAGATTCAGATATAGTGGCCAAGCTGGTGATTTATAAACACCGGGTGTACAGACACTCTGTCTTTGGTGCCAGAGGCTTAAAGAAGAGTTTCATCCATGTGAAAATCTGGTGGTGATGTGGAGAATGAGGACCATGGATGGGTCAGTTAAGGGACATTGAATATTTCATTTTAAATCATCCAGATAATAAAACAATTCATTCATTTCTGTGAAGGAACTGTGGATATGAGTGACCTGGTTCGATTTCCATCGTATTTAAATACAATGTAGCAAAGTTACTGTAATAACAAAAGCATTGTAATTGAAAATGGAAACCATTGTACCCCCATCTACAGTGATGAACAAAACAACTTACCATACTGTATAAGATTATGGCATTTAGAATATATAACACATATGTGTAATGTTGGCGGAGAGTAATAAAAAATAGTCGATGACCTGAATATGATGAAGCATGTTGTCAACAAAAGCTAGAGAAAATTTCCATCATCTTCCAAAAGGAATTGCACAGGCTCACACTGTAACTGAGCACTTAATTTAGATACTCCTCCTAGAAGACTGCAAGGCAGTGAGGCAGCATCATGTGATACAGAGAATCGATCGCAGTGCTAATGCAGTGCACTGCATCAGCTTTGCATTCTGATTTAATAGGCTGTTATGGTGCTGCAGTGCCCTAGAACACAGAATGGAGCTTCTGCTCGTGGAACAGAATGGAGCTTCTGCTCGTGGAGGCAAGCCTGAGGCACCTTGTGTTCACACATCCGCTCAGAAAGAACAGGAAGGATTTTACAATAGACCAACTACATTACACCATGCAGCTCTGGAACACATTTTGCAATGTGCATAAATGAGTTTTTTTTTCAACAACACCGCTATTTCATCTGCCCTTAAAAGGTTTCTCATTGACCATATAAAGACTGCTCCTAGCCATGTGTGAAAGGCTATTGATCTCTTGACGCAGAATCAATCTACAGTTAAAAGTAATAACTGAGCACCTCTATCATTGCATGGTAAAGCCTAACCTTTTAATACCAGACGAAATGACCAGTTAGACAAATGCCCCTGAAAAATCATTGAAAACTCAAAACGAAGGGAATTAGACTGTGTTCTTTGCTGTTTCTGCCATGTAGCACTTCATTGGAACTGGTTTTGGGATTCTTCATATTTACATATTACAGATGAATTCAGCAGCATACCCTAAATAACTCTTAATTCCAAAAATCCATGACATTCAAATAATACACAGACTAATACTGAAGTGCCTTTTCAAATGTAAGCAGCTCTCTTTGCATAGCATATGAAAAATATATTCTATGGAGCCCTTGTAGTATTCGTGCTAGATGCAAAAAAAATGTTCTACTGGTCGGGAACATGCATGCTACTGCGACAAAAAAGTAGGGTTTTGTTGCTGGCATGGCAGAGTGACCAGGACCTAAATGTCAGCTGTCAAAGAAATAAAACATTGAAATGGAAAAGCAGGCAAGGACCCAGCACTCAGCAGAATTCTATATCGGTGCAGGAGGACATACGTCTTCAGCCAAGAGATAATTACAATAAGACTGCTAAGAGATTCTATTAAAGCAGAACAGAATGAGGAAAGCTCTTTAATCAATGTCCTGCTGTCAGTGTACTGATCTGATGCATCCCTGCTTGGCGTAAGAGCTATAGAGCAACTATAGGGGATTTGACTGGGGGTGCAATTGCACTGCTGCTCAGAGGAAAGTGCTGTTTGAGCATATTAAGTTTAATATTATAATATAATGTTATACTTCAAAATGTGGCTTGTGCTAGTCATACCAATGTGTAATAATAATTTATTGTAAATGTATTTACTATTTATTTTTACAAATGTATTTATCTGGATGAATGACTGGTTGAGCTCTCTCACCTTGCATCCCCTGGGAGAAAAGTCTAGAGTCACCCATGAACGCATCCACAAACGCCGGCCATGTTTACATGGAAGAGACCTTATGGTATATGCTGCCGGGAAGGCATTTCCTTTATTGAAAATGTTCTATATATTACAGACATACATACATCTAGATCAAGGTCAAGAACATTTGCGTGTTCTGTTGTATGAAGGCTTCACAATCTAACGGTTTGTAAAAAATAATCTGAGAGTATTGACGTATTACTTGTTCTTGATATTGTTAGCTATAAAGGCACAGCTGGAGACAATAACCTTAATTGTACTATATCAAAAAGCAACAGAACATTTATTAGTAATCATTTTTGATAAAAGAATTGTTCCCGTTTACCAAAGAACAGGTGCCAGTTTCACAAGAGTACGACTCGATTTCGATGTGACGTTTCAATGCCGTCATTATTATGACTGTGTATTGAGTAGATAATGATCGTTGGATTGGACGGCAATTTAAAAGCAAAGCTACCCTGAACCCCTTAAAATTTTACAAAAGCATTTATATCAGCTATTCTATACAGCTGGCGTTCTTATAATCATTCAGTCGCATTATGCCGTTTATACAACATTGCCGTTTTATTTTAAAACACAGTAATCATGAAAAGCCTGTAATTATGATTGTGGAAACTGGAGCAATTTATAGATTTAAAATCTGGCAAGGTTTCGAAAATGATGGTCCTTTGAGCTATTTTACAACTAAGCTACGATAAATATCCGAACAAAGAACAATGTTTTTTGGACAATTTCGGCGTACCTAGTTATATTTATATTTCATAATTATTTTAGGGATTGAACAACTATTTGCGTCATAATCTATTTATACCGACAGACAACGAAAATGGCACCGCGGGCAGTCTTCAAAGGGCAATGAATATTTTGGGATGTCCTAATACTGAAGAGGGGCCAACTACAAGTAGTAATTTAACCTCTAATACGGCGATTCAAGTCAGTCCGCACAAAAAAAAGAAAAAGAAAAATTGACATTCTTAAGAATAACGACAAACTAGATAAACCACGAGCTGATGAAATGTGAAATAGAAAAAAAAAGTTGTGCGGTATGTTTCAGATTATCAGAAAAAGAAAACGCAAAACGAAACGCACTTGTATTAGGATACCTGCTGAAATAGACTCCAGAAAGAGGGGCAGCGCGTCTCAGCACCGCGGCTCATCACCACCAGCGGAACCAGACGTCTCAGCTTGGGGCCCGAAATCTCGCGAGATCTGCGTTGTGCGTCTGCAACTCTCTGCGTTGGGGTGCCCGATCATTTAACTCTATATCTTAACGTCCGAGGAGGCTGGGGGACAGAAAAGTCGAGCGGACATCGAAGCGTAGCGCCTCTGCAGATGGCGTGTTTTATGGACAAGGTGTAACGTCTGAAGCGTTAAGATATTTCATGAATATTGGCGATCGCTAGCTACCGTTAGGTTGGCGAAACGATTCCTACAGATGTGGTGGCTGGAATCCCGAGAGGAGAAAAAAAAGGGGGCACAACCAATAAAGCAGGACACAGTGGAGGAATAAGAGGGCGATTTTCCTTTTTCTAGGACGCATGGAAAGACTGGAAGACTGTATCCGACGGTGGCGTTTAATATTTAAATAGTTCCTATATTCTAGTTATCTTTTTGCGTTAGGACCTGCCCTCACTCGCTGGTGGGGCAGTCTGCTTTCGGGTTTTTAGCTGCCTTGTAACAGGGCCCTAGTCGGGCTGTCTGGGCTCCACCATGGGCACTAACAGCGAGTGGGTGTTCGCCAGGGCTGCTGTTCTGCGGGACATGGCTAGAATGACCCAGGGCTAAAAATCAGCGGGCCGAAATCGCCGCTCCCCGCTTTACTTCAGCTATATATATATATATATATATATATATATATATTTTTTTTTTTTCTCACTGAAGAGAACCACCAAACCCTGAATTTCCGTCAGCTACATTTTCAGCGCTGGATAGATGGGTTGCAGCATTTGGTTCCAGGCTAGGTAGCGTGTTATCCACCTACCTAGCATAGCTGTCATCCAGACAAAGTGAGCTGTATGTAGCAATAAAAATAATGGATGGCTGACACCCTATTGAGCCTCCTTCTTAGGAGAGGGGGCGAGAAAGAGACACGAATAATAGGAATCTTAAGTCCGAAAACCAGTACACTACAGTAAAGGGCGAAGACCGATCCTCCTCATATGGCTACAGCCAGCTGAGCCGGGCAGCAGCCGAAGTCGCGCCCCAGAGTTAAAAGCTCCGCAGCCTCCGAGAGACGTGAGAAATGGATAAACTCACCATTATTTCAGGATGTCTTTTTCTGGCCGCAGATATTTTTGCCATTGCCAGCATTGCCAATCCAGACTGGATCAACACCGGGGAATCTGCAGGTAAGCGACCCCGCCTTGGTATTTTTCATGATTAAATTACAGGCTAATTCTTAAATCACGGTTTATACGGTGTGCCATATCCAGTTTCTGCAAAGCTTGTATTTGATATTTCTTGCATGGGGGTCAGAAGATTTCCAAGTATTCAGTTAGATGAAGTAGATCTCTTACAGTATGTCGTGATCTTTCCGTTCGCTTCGTCTTAGACATTTACATTTGATTTTTACCAGATACCAAACTGGCAATTTCCCTTTACCGCGCACAGATTAGGTAATCGTGGGTCAGAATAAGCAGTTGGAATAAATCGCGTGGGTCCATTGATAAAATTGCTCGCGTGACATTGCAGGAGATCGCGGGTGACCCGGCACGTGCGGGGTCTCATTTTGTCGCCACACTTCTGAAAATGCGCTTGGAGACGATGTTTGAGTATAATTCTTTTTTCTTTTTTTTTCTGTTCTTTTTTTAACCGCTATGCGCGGTAACTGGGCGTTAATTGTAGGTATCAAATGCTGTTACATGAAATTGCTGGCTCCTGGGTCAACACTCGGTCTTAGAAGGGCTACTCATGCCAGGAAATTGGGGTTTGTTAGAATCACTTAAGTGAGCCTCAACGATCAGCCTTGCAATTAATTGAAACATAAAGGCTTACCGCTTACACTGTTAAATACAGATGCATAGTGTTTTTTTTGCATTTATATTAATTACAAATTTTGCAGACGTAACGTGTTTCAAGTGCCTTTTGGGTAAAAAAAATAATGACAGGCTTGACAGCCTTATCTGTTAGAATGAAAAATTGCGAAAATAACACCTGCGCTGTTTTAATGGTTTAGGAACTTGGCACTACTTCTGTCGCAGGTGGGTACTCCGTACAATTAGGTGTTATCACCTGGGATGATGAAAGTGCAGTTAATTTCTGAGCTATTTATAAGACGTCTGTGAAATTGACTCTAAATCTGAGCATTTATACAAGTCCCTAGTTCCATGTGCCATATAATATTGGAAGCCCACAGTCATTTGGAGTATTCAGACTTGAGATATTCAGATCAAATTTCTACCTTCGTTTTTTAAAATGGAGCGTTAAGGTATCAGCGATTTAATGTGCAGCTTGGTTTACTCCGGCGTAGGGGATTACTCTCTGGGTGCTTTGGGCTCCTCCCAGAGTTCAAAGACACAGTGTGTGTCTCAGAAACAGTGGGTATTGCGTGTATGAAGTGGAGTGTGTGTGTGCGCCCCGTGATAGACGTCCATCCCCCAAGAATGTTTCCAGGTCTTGTGCCCCATGATGCTTGGGATTGACTCCATGGATAGATGGTCGAAAAAGGCAACAGTAAAACACACGATTCCTTGGGTTTGTAAACCGTAATAATGGTGCCAGGTGAGAGCTGCTGTTTATAGTCAATGGAGAATCATTGTGTTTCTACATTTCAGGGACATACTTTACCTTTTTTGCTTTAGGGAAAATAGGAATGGTGAAGTAATGAAGTTTTAAAATTTTGATTCAGCTTGCATAATTTCACAGGTCATATGCCAGTTGTATATGATGCTGGATGGTGTTTTTCCACCAATTTTTGCAGATTCATGCTGGTACATCATTTATTGATAATGAGACCAGGTGATTTCAGCAGGTGTTCCTGAGGTCACATGACAAAGGGAACCCAGTGTTAGCGCCACAAGAAATCTGATGGCCAGGCCCAAGATTTTTCACATTATTGCAGGGCAACAGCACACCACAGAAAGCAAATGACACATGTCTCAGTTGTTCAGTGCAGTGTGTACAGGAACAATGTTTACAAAACACATGAAAGCAGTTTGGTGCAGGTGGGTTTGAAGTACAGATTTCTACCTAGATGTCATAAATATTGCAGTCCAAACACTATTGGCTAATGGCAATGAAACACAACTTCTTCAAAAACACCTTTAAAACAGCTGAGTGCAGCTCCTGAATTGGCACATAACTAGCTAATGTTGGCTTCTTGATCAATTAAGCATAGTGCATAGGCCATTTGGGTTGGTTCTGTTTACTAACAAATCACACACTGTCGTTCCGCTCCAGTCGTGATGCTTCCTCATCAATGAGCTCTTCCACACAAAAATTGTCACATTTTATTACGTGATTATTCATTTAAATGTGCATTAATCTGTTTATTTTTAAATGATGCTTTAATAGGCCAATCTTCTTTAGCATCTTTGAGTGATTGTTTTGGTTTTTTTTTTGAAGGGGGGGGGACACACAAAAAGTGCTGACACCCCCTGGGGACCACAGCATTCTCTTTATGTGTACGCGTCTCCAGGTGGAGAATAAATCCGTAATTGGGGGGGGTAGGCATGGAATAACTCTGGGCAGCAGCTTCTCATGCTTCATTGATGTTCTGCAGGGTTGATGGAACCCAGGGAATGCGCTGTAAAATGTGCATCACATTACTATGGAATGGCCAGAAACCTTCCAGTTGAAAGCAGCCTTTTGGTGGTGCCTAGGTTTCTCCGGGCTGCTGGCACTCATTAACGCATCAAGCGTTGATTTGCAGGCCATATCACTCCAGCCAGTGTCCATATGTCTGTCACCATTCAGCTGTGGTATCCAGTTTATGAGGGTCAGCCCTGTGAGTGCCTTCACATTCCCGTACTGCACTCCGTCGGTCTGCACTGCTGTTCTTCCTTTCACTGGCTGAGTGCTGCTTTGTGCTTCTTCCTTCCTTAGGTTCTTCACTGTCGCCTTGTTTTCCCCTCCAGATGTTGTATTTGATACGTCGCTAACATGTCCCAAATTAAATTCTGCAGCCTTTTCCTGCCGAGGTATAGCATTTTATCGCCGCGGATGTCAGCTAGGTCTTCTTTCCCATCCAAACTAACAAATACAGAGCTGGATTTCATGCTCATGCCACTTGATATCCCATTAGATGCCTACTGGGACAAGAGTGGGATGTTTCACAGACTAGTTATGTTTGTCAAAACCTTGTATTTTACATACATGTAGTACTACCTTTAACCTGAATCTATGTGTACGTGAGGGGAAAATGCATGCAACTAAGTTTATTTTTTTTGCATTTTCCAACATTATAATGACAGTCATTGTTATATGACATGGAAATTTGTAAAAATGATGCTGAACTGATAAAAGGTAGAGAATTCAGGTACTGTGATGAATTTTCATTTGGGAATTGATCCAGTTCTGTGTGAAATGTGGTGGAGCTGATGTCAGCACAGCGCTCCAGGCTTTCTGCCATGTGTTCGCACTGAAGGCCGACCTGCAAAAGCAGACGTTGTGATTTTGCTAAATGCACACATGCTAGAGCTGAACGTGAAATTTGCCTTTCGTTGGGTACTTAGTTATTGCTTTATGAACATTATTTTCATTTTCCTAATTTCTGTAGCAGAGTCTTTAAACAAAAAATGTAGTATTACTACTATTGTCCTACTTCTTGTCACGATTTAAGAGAGAAGCCATGGCATTTTAGAATATGATACAGCATCCATCTGTCATCGGTATTTGCTTGTGATGTAACGTCTTCACTTTTCACCCTGACTGTGATGTACCTTGTGATTGGATGGTACTGCTGACAAATATGACCTATTGGTCTGCTCAGTGTTGTGTCTTGGTGCCAACTGGAACATGTGCCACAGACCAAGATCAGTCAGGAAAAAAAAGTTAAGCAAATGCTTACCACAGTCTAGTTAGAAGACTCATTCAGTGAAGAGTATTAACAGCATAAGCATGAGCATTTTAATGTTCTACTTGCTATTTTTCTGTCTTGATTCCTGGTCTGATAGTCTTTGTGTCTTATGTTTGTTCAGTTGAAATGGTTTAAGTAGTGTGCCAGACTGTTGAGGTTAGATTTTCTGATGGCTTTGGCCAAGACTGGTTTTCTGTGATTAGACTGAGAGCGTAATTGTAGTCTTCTCTTCATTTTTGAATAACCTTCTGGAAAGGTACTTCACAAAAACAGGGATGAAGATGCTTTCCATTTTTTTTTCCTTTTTGTTCACAAGTGTTTGGTGTATACAGTTCTTCAGTGAATCATCTCTCCATCTTCGAACTGCCAATCCAGTTCAGGGCTTTACAGTGATGTTCTAGGTATATTTTAATCCTAGTATTTGTTTATTTATTCATGTATAGAGAATTAAGAACAATTCTAGTTGTCCTGTCGGATTTGTTTGTTTGCTTGTTTATGCATGCTAGTTTTTCTTTGGAGAATTATCTAACAAGCATTGTTTTTTGCAGAATGCTTCTGGAAAATGTTCCTTGCAGTGCCTTGAGGTATCAAGTTTATGTTATGCCTCTGAGTGCTCTGCAGTAATATCGTAATAATATCTTACTGTAAATGAAGAACATTCCCAGTGCTATGATGCACACCTTTAAAGCAAACTCGTGTTGCTCTCAGCCTTCCTTAACCAGTGGGTGGTAATTTCCAAAGCGGCAGATGTACTTGGAGAAGCCATACTAATGCTAAAAGGTGCCCATTAATTCAAGTGGTCCTCTGCGCCGTGTTCGACAGTACGGCCCCTAGAGCCACTTCAGGGGGGGTGCGGCTCCTCTGGGGCCGTGTGTGGGATGACGGGGCTAGCTTGTGCGTCACGTCGCTAAAGCGGCGTCCGTCAGCCGGAGGTCCTGCCCTCGGCTAATCACAGAGGTCGAGCTGCCGACTGCACTCGCGGGAGGAAGATCATCCTGAGCAAACAGCTTAAGGGGAGCCTTTCACAGGAAGATATCATTATTTCATCTCTGTTTCATGCAACGGTTTAACATTACAATTGAATATGTTTAAAATAAGTTGAGTGTAACAGTTAAATATAATTTCGACAATAATGAGCATGTCATACAATAACATTATTATTATTATTATTAACAACAGTATTATTATTAATACTCATAATTAATACTACTGCTCCTACCACACCACTAGTCTTAGTATTAATCTGAAGTACATGGTATACACTATAAGAATCCTGTGTGTGTATGTGTGTGTGTGTGAGAGAGAGAGAGATTCGCATTCATATTATGTGTG